ACCCTAAGCCCAACAAACCAATTAGCTAGTATTATCATTAATCGCAACAGTAAAACTCTTTTCAATAGTATAACAAGAGTATACATATATAGATACAGAACACATTAATGTATATATATATAGATATATATATATATACAACATTAATTTGCTTAGTACGACAATATATATAAATATTTCTTGCTGCAGGTGGTGGAGAGATCCGGGTCAGCCAGGAAGCCAAAAAGCCGAAGTGAGCTCGGAAGTCTTCAGAGTTCGGCCTCATAGTGATTCTTGTTTAGGGTTTAGGGTTTAGGGTTTAGGGTTTAGGGTTTAGGGTTGAGGGTTGAGGGTTGAGGGTTGAGGGTTCAGGGTTCAGGGTTCAGGGTTCAAGGGGAGGGTTCAAGGGGTCCGGGGGCTTAGTGTTCAGGGGAGCTCGGGGTGAAAGGTGTAAGGAAGGTCCATAGCTGCTCTGTCCAAGGACTTCAGGTTTCAGCTTTGTTGTGTGGAGGGGGGGGAGGCGGGGGGGAGGGGGGTAAGGGGCCCTAAACCCTAAACTCTAAACCCTAAACCCTAAACCCTATTCTCCCTTACGGGCTTGGATCAGAGAACTTCGGGGGTTGCAGCTCTTTAAGGTTGAAAGCTGAAGGTCTACACCATCAACATGATGAGTTGGAGGCTCAAGGGTTTCCAGGACTCAGAGTTTAGGGTTTAGGGTTTAGGGTTTAGGGTTTAGGGTTTAGGGTTTAGGGTTTAGGGCTTCGGGTTTAGGGTTTAGGGCTTAGGGTTTAGGGTTTAGGGTTTAGGGTTTAGGGTTTAGGGCTTCGGGTTTAGGGTTTAGGGCTTAGGGCATAGGGTTTAGGGTTTAGGGTTAGGGTTTAGGGTTTCGGGTTTCGGGTTTAGGAGGTAGGGTCCAAAGGGTCCAGGTCGGCTCGGCCGTCGAGGCTACAGCTAGAGGGTTTGGACAATCTCTCCTCTAACTCCACCCAACACGAACACTTAGCTTTGGAGTAAACCCTGAAAAAAAAGTACATACTTTTTAGGTATAAGTAGCTATAATAGGAACCCAGAACCAAAAAAAAAGTATTAAAGTATGGTACACCAAGACCCAGAACAGGTTCAGCAGCTTAGGAAATGTTGGGGATGTGGGCTCTTAGGGGTTTGGAGTTTAGGGTTGAGGGTTTTAGGCTTCAGGATTTAGGGCTTGGAGTTTAGGGTTTGAGGTCTGGGGCTTAAGGGCCGTATGGATTAGGCTTTCTGCGACTTTGTCCGCTACGGCCTGTCCCTGGCAATTGCTCTTGACAAGCGCGCGCGATCCTGACCCCTAACACACCTACCATCCCAGCCACCCCCAACATCCCCTACTGTAACATCCGTAACCCTAAACCCCGAAACCCCTAACCCTAAACCCTAAACCATAAACCCTTAAACCCCGATCCAGCGCTGCTTACGCAGCTGTCCCCCCACCCTGCAATGCGAACCAGAGAACTAGGGAAGGACTGCTGACCTAGAATAAGAATCTTGAGACTGGCCGCTTTGACTGTGGCTCATGTCATGCCGATTCTCCGAAGCCTCCTGTTTTCTCGCTGACAGTTTTGCGAGGTTTCGGGTTTCGGGTTTAGGGTTTAGGGCTTAGGGTTTAGGGTTGGGGGTTTAGGGTTTAGGGGGGTTTGGGGTTTAGGGTCTAGTCAGAGAAGGCTTCAGTCAGAGAAGCTCTGAGCCTGAACCGTGCGAGAAAGGAAACTGCAGACGAATCAAGCTCCAAACGCAAACCCCCGAGGGGGCCGCCAGTCTGCTTGAAGCTTCGTGGCTCGTCTAAACTCTAACCCTCTGAAGCCCAAACGCGAAACTCTTAGGGTTTAGGGTTTAGGGTTTAGGGTTTAGGGTTTAGGGTTTAGGGTTTAGGATTTAGGGTTTAGGGTTTAGGGGGTAGGGTTTTCTGAAGCTAAATAAACCCAAACCCTAAACCCGAAACCCCAAACCCGGAGCCCTGAGCCCAACCAAAGCGTTGTTTGGCCAGTGCCCTGAGAGTGCCGCTTCCGATCCCGCGCCGACGACCCATGGCGCGGCCGTATCAGCCTGGGTCCGTTCTTACAGAGTTAGGGTTTTAGAGTTTAGAGGTTTAGGGTTTAGGGTTTAGGGTTCAGGGTTCAGGGTTTAGGGTGGTTGGGAGGTGGGGGGGGGGGGGGGGGGGATTATCGGTTCAGGCCATGAACCCAAACCCGAAGCCTTCCCGGGGGTTTGCGGCAAGGTGCACGCGCACTTCAGACCCCCAAATAAACATCCAAAGCTGGAGCTATCCTATGACCTACCTGGAACTACCCCATGAACCTCCAAGAACCACCCCTGTGCCGCCCACCCGAACACACCCTGTCCAAAACAAGGCCCAAGCACAGGATAAGGGTTTTAAGGCTTAGGGCGTAGAGTGGCTGAGGGAGTTGAAAAGGCGGGGGGGCAAAGGCTTCAGAATGGACTCGAAACCTTAGTGGGTCGGCCTTTAACCGCTTTGGAAACATGCTAGTACGTGAAGTCCCTCAAACAAGGACTTCGTCGTACGTGAAGTCCCTCAAACAAGTACTTCGTCGCTTGGGGCGTCGGGCTTAGGGCTTAGGGTTTAGGGTTTAGGGTTTAGGGTTTAGGGTTTAGTGTTTGGGGCTTAGGGTTTAAGGGTGTTTAGTGCTCATCTCTGAGCCCGGAGCGGCATGGTGTCAGCTGGCGACCCTCCTTCAGGGTTGTAAGATTCTTGGGGAAGGGGTGAGGCGTTGAAAGAGCTTGGGCGGAGTCGAGGGCTGAGGGCTTCAAACCCGCAACCCTAAACCCTAATCCTTAAACCCTAAACCCTATACCCAAAAACCATGAACCCTCAACCCTGAACCCCTCAGCTCTCAATCGTTCGCGCAGGTGCCGTGGAGTTTCCTCAACGGTTCTGGAGGGTGCCAAGACAAGTTTAGGGTTTAGGGTTTAGGGTTTAGGGTTTAGGGTTTAGGGTTTAGGGTTTAGGGTTTAGGGTTTAGGGTTTAGGGTTTAGGGTTTAGGGTTTAGGGTTTAGGGTTTAGGGTTTAGAGCACACCCTAAACCCTAAACCCTAAACCCTATTAGGACAACCCGAAACCGCGGAGCCCAGAGGCAGGGCTTGCTGCGCTTCGGGGGCCCGCGCCTGCCATGCGCCAGCGCGCGCATGAAGGCCGCCATGAATCCAACACAACCCCGGGTTCAGTGTTCCGGGTTTAGGATTTAGGCGTGATGGTTTGGGGCTTAGGGTTTAGGGCTTAGGGTTTAGGGTTCAGGGTTCAGGGTTTAGGGTTCAGGGTGTAGGGCCTGAGCTACCTGTTGTCAGGAGTCTGTAGGGTTTAGGGCTTGGGGCTTCGGGGTTTTTGATTGTGGTGAGAGGAGGGCTCAGCCCTAGAGGGGTGTGAGCTTAGGGTTGCGGGGTTCAGGGGCGAAACCTATCTCTTGGTGCTGAGGGTTCTAGGGTTTAGGGGTTTAGGGGTCTAGGGGTTTAGGGGTTTAGGGGTTTAGGGGTTTAGGGGTTTAGGGTTTAGGGTTTAGGGTTTAGGGTTTAGGGTTTAGGGTTTAGGGTTTAGGGTTTAGGGTTTAGGGTTTAGGGTTTAGGGTTTAGGGTTTAGGGTTTAGGGCTGTACGGGTTTATAGGGCTGTAGGTTTTAGGGCTTGTGCTCGAAGATGGTGAGCCGAGATCTCACATGCTGGCGATTGGGTTCCTGTGTGTGTTTTCTATTGGAAACCCCCCCCCCCCACATCTCCGACCAAGAGCTCCCTTGTGGGGGGGGGGGGGGGGCTCGGGTTTAGGGTTTAGCGTCTGGGGTCTGGGGTTTGGGGTTTCGGGTTGGTAGGGTTCAGGGTTTAGGGTTTAGGGGCTTCATGGGCTTTCTACCAGATGCGGTAGGAAAAAGAAACGTACTAGACACGGCCTTCAGCAAAGCGGCATCCGTCCCTTTCCGCGGTCCGAGGTGACCTTTTTGAAAAGGCGCCCCTTGCCTCTTTGAGTTCAAAGTTTTTTGGGGCCCCTCCAACTCCGATGTACATCGACTAACAGTGCTCGTAGAAGTCAGGCAGAAGTTAGGCCAGTGGCCTTGTGGCTCCACAATAAACACAGATCTGGTTTGCAGTCCCTGCTTTGCAGAGGCACCAGCCGAGCTTCAAAAAACCGTCCCCCAACTCCACAACCACCTACCAGAACTTGGCGGCGTCAGATGGAAAACGTGGATTGCGCGTCTTCCTCCGGCTCCCTCGCAGGGAGCAGCAACGCGATGAGTGAAGATGGGGCCTGAACCTGCAGGGCTTCGGGTTTCGGGTTTAGGCTTAGGGTTTCGGGCTTAGGGTTCAAGATTCACATCTTAGGGTGTGTCATGCGAGAGCGCGCGCGCGCTCGGATGTGAAACGCCCCTCAACCCACCCCGGCCACCCACGCTCCTCTCTCTTGGGCTTCGGGTCTATGAGATTTTATTCTTACTGTTTTTCTTCCCGTGCCGATGTGTGTTTCTTTTGCTAAAGCCACACTTGGGCTTCGGAAAGGGGTCGCCTGGGCCCTTTGCGAGCCTTCGGCCTGAGTGCAAAAATAGGGTCGGGCAGGGCTTAGGCTACCGTTATATACATAAAGGTGGTCTGGATACGGCCATCCTACAAGCCATTGAGGCTAGTACCCTCACCTCCCCGTCCCGCTCTTGATGGATGCGACCCCTGACTTAGTTTAGGATTTAGGACTCAGGGTCTAGGGTATGCTCAGTCCGTCGTGCGCGGCATAGACCCCACCGCCCAGAACTCGTCTTGGGATTCCCAGTAACATGACATGCTTCTACCGGGCGTATGTGAGCAGGGCGTTGCACCACCCCTGACCCCAGAGAAATGAACATGACGGAGACAAGAGGTCGGAAAAGTCACCACCGAAACGCCTAAGGCCTCTTAGACATGCAGGTACGTCCAGCTGATCAGGCTGGATATCCCATCTGCCACCGCAGCTTCATTACACACGGTAGGTTGCAGACGGCGTGTGCCCCTACAACTTATTCATCCTTAGCAAACAGGTGTGTGTGTACACGCACACCATCACACTCTAGGCGCACCCCACACCCTGAACCGAGGGGCCTGCTTGGCTAACTCGAGCGCGGTCTTCCCCCGGCTGTTGCGCATGGTCGCGTCTGCGGCCGCTTGCAGAAGCAGGCGCGTGGCGCCGAACGCGCCGTTCCTGGGGGAATTAGGCTTGGAAGGCCGTTGGCTGAAGGTCCAACAGAAGCCTGGAGCTTCGGATTTAGGGTTTAGGGTTTAGGGTTTAGGGTTTAGGGTTTGAAAGTTTAGGGTAAATCAAAGAGCTGGTGAACCGGCACTGCGAAACAACTGTTGGAGTCGCGGGCTTAGGCGGAAGGGACAGCCCCCTTGAATCCTAAGCCCGACATGGTGAATTCTCTAAGTTTTGGTCTCGCTGAGTAACCTTAAGCATATCGGTACTGCCCATGTGAATGCGTAGGCTACACAAACCCAAGATGGGAAGCGCGACATGTGCCCTAAAGCCATAAACCCTCGAGCCAAACCCCAAATCCTACAGCCCTGCCCTCAACCATTAAAAAAAGAAGCGCTGAAGCCTCGAGAACCCTAAACAAAATCTACACTTGAGAGCTCATGATAGAAGTAGGCCTAGAGGTACGGTATGCATGAACCCACAAGTTACACCAGCGAAGAAGCCAAAGAGTGTAGACCCTAAACCCTAAACCCTCCGACATGAAGGGAGACGAAAGAGCACAGGGGAGAGACAGGCCGCCAAAAATCCGGCGGCCCATCCAATCTTGGTTTTTTTTTTTTTCGAAATTAGGGGGGGGGTACCTTCTTGGGGTCCCTTTTACGAGGGAATCCTACTACTCGGGGGCCTGGATTTGGGTCCCTTATTATTTCGCAAACCCCCCAAATGAAGGGAGGCAAAGGGGTGAGAAGAGGAGACAGAAATCGGGAGGGAAACTCGGCAGGGGCCTGGGGATCCGTAGAGGGAACTCAGAAACCATCCTGAACCCTGAATTTAAATACTCTTGGGGTTCAGGGCTTCGGGTTGAAGGGCTCTGGAGGGGGATCGAAGCCCTAAACCCTAAACCCTAAACCCTAAACCCTAAACCCTAAACCCTAAACCCTAAACCCTAAACCCTAAACCCTAAACCCTAAACCCTAAACAGCTTTGGGGTTCTAGGGATTCTTAGGGGGCAGAGGCTTTGGGTGTGGGGGGGGGGGGGGGCAACTGTTCAGGGGGGTTGGAGGACCTTTGGGGTTCTCCTAAACTAAACCCTAAACCCTAAACCGAAGGTTGTATGGCTTTGGAGTCTCGGGTTTGCGGGAATGAGCCGAGAGGCAGGATGCTCAGCATGAGGGGCGTGGCCAGCTTGTGATGATAGGCCAGGTTTGTCAACCTCCAAAGGATGTTGAAACTGTTCAGCGTGACTCCCTACCTCATCCTAAGCCCTGAGCCCTAAGCCCTAAGCCCTAAACCCTAAACCCTAAACCCTAAACCCTAAACCCTAAACCCTAAACCCTAAACCCTAAACCCTAAACCCTAAACCCTTCGTCCGGCCTAAACTCTGAGGATCGGAAGTACAACCCTGCCCTGCGCAGGCCCCTGAACCCGAAACCCTAACTCCCAGATCCTAGGGTTTAGGGTTTAGGGTTTAGGGTTAGGGTTTCGGGTTTAGGGTTCCGGGTTCAGGGTTTAGGCTTTTGGGTTTGGGGTTTTGGGTTTAGAGTCTAGAACCGCAAAAGCCGAGAGGCAGAGACGGGCTGACGTAGTGTCGGAGGCTCAGAGCCGTGAAGAGCATCCGAAACACCTTTGCCGGCGGAATTTTAGCTTAGGGCTTTGGGTTTATGGTTTGGGGTTTAGGGTTTAGGGTTTAGGGATTAGAGTTGTTCATGTTGGGTTAGGGCTTAGGGCTGAGGGCTGTTTGAGCTTTAGGCTTTGGGGGCAGGGCATTTTGGTTTGCGCAGGGGCTGGAAGCGCGTGCAAAACATTGCGGTGCTCACTCCCGTAAGTGGCAACACATCCCGCTCCCGAAGCCCAGTGAAGCTGGGAGTTCTCTATCACCCACCCGCTGTGAACAGATAACCTCCCAAACCACCGGAGAATAGCTGAGCCAAAGCCAAAAAAGAACACACCGAGTGAAGGGAACAAACTCAAAACCTCAAGAGCCTCTAAAGCCGCAAAACCCTGCAGATACCCGAGGCCTAGCCCCCCAAAGCTGAGCCCCAGGAACAGGCGAAGTGAGGTGGAGCTGTTCGTTGACGTCTGCTCTTGCCTGCCGGCCCAAGTCAGACCTTATAAACCCTAAATCACAAACCCTGGACCCCTAAAACCCCCTAACACCCCCTAAAACCCCCCAAGAAAAAACCCCTAAAACCCCCTAAAGCCCCTAAAACCCTAAAGCGATAAGCCCGAGCTGTTTTGCGTTGTTGCGTTCGAAGCTTCTAGTTTCCCGGCTCCCGGATCCCAACCTCAATTGGGTTTAGGGTTTAGGGTTTCCGGTTTCGGGTTTAGGGTTTAGGGTATTTTAGGGTTTAGGGTTGTTTAGGGTTGGTGTAGAGGAGAGCCCCAGAAAAGCAGAAAAGCACAAAATCCTGAAGGGCCCTTCCCCCCCCCTCCCCCCCCACACCCTAAACCCCAAACCCTAAACCCCAAACCCTAAACCCTAAACCCCAAACCCTAAACCCTAAACCCTAAACCCTAACCCCCCCCCCCCAACCTCAATGAGGGTGACCACCACCTCGGTGGAGTTGCTGTAGAAGATCAAGGCTTGATGCAGCCGGTACTGGAGGCTCACCTGGACAAGGGAGGGGGGGTTTAGGGTTTAGGGTTTAGGGTTCAGGGTTTAGGGTTTAGGGTTTGGGGTTTGGGGTTTAGGGTTTGGGGTTTAGGGTTTAGGGTTTAGAGTTTCGGGTTTAGGACAAGGGAGGGGGGGGGGGGGAGGGGGGGACAACTTGGGGGTTTGCGGATGCCCTTGTAGTAAGGACCCCAACAAGGTACCCCCGAATTTCCCATTTCAGCGTTGGGGTTCAGCGCCACAGGGGAAGAAAGGTGTTAACGTGATTGTAGGTATAGGGCTCAGGCTCTGGGGAGGCATTTGGTCTTGGCAGCTCCCTACATGCCCTCCACACCCGCCGTCTGGGTCCCAAGCTGAGGGTCTTTGGTGTTTATGGGGTTTGTGGGATTGTGGGTTTAGGGTTTAGGGTTGAAGAATACTTTAAACATTCACTATGCAACAATGCGAAGCCCAAAGGCCATGGACAAATGATCCTTTGTCCAGAAAGCCCCTCTACGCCACCCCCGAAAGCCAAAACCCCAAACCGTCCTAACCCCAAACCCGAAACCCTAAACCCCAAACCCGAAACCCCAAACCCCAAACCCCAAACCCTAAACCCCAAACCCGAAACCCCAAACCCCAAACCCTAAACCCTAAACCCTAAATCCTAAACCCTAAACCCTAAACCCTAAACCCTAAACCCCTAAGCCCAGCCTGAGGCTTCAGGGTCAACAGCTCTTTCGCGACCTTCGCCGCTCCAGAGCCTGGGTGCTTCACGGAACGCTGGGGTGGGGGGGGGGGGGATGGGTTTCGGGTGTAGGGTTTAGGGTTTAGGGTTCAGGGTTTAGGGTTGAGGGGTTTGGGGTTTACGGTTTAGGGCTTTGGGGTTTAGGGGTTTGGGATTTGGGGTTTGGGGTTTAAGGTTTAGGCTTTTGCTGACTGGTTCTTAGTGGGGGAATGAGGCACCCTACAGCCCCCTAGAAAACCCTTCAAGGGAGTCTCTAGGGTACCTACTTCCCTCATTCCCTCAAAGAACCAGGGTTTTCCGTTTTCGGATTTTGGGCTCGAAAGGGGTTCGGGCTTTTTGCTTTGCCAAGCGGGGGGTTGAGGGGTGAGGGGTGCTCATGTTTAGCCATATACAATCATTCGTTGAATATTTTTGTTGTTATTCTTGATATTTATTACTGTTAACTCTCCTGAAACAGGAATCACGGCACAGTGCAATAGGGAGTCCATACTGTACCGTAGCTGAACACCCTGCTGCAATCGAGGAGCCGCAAGCACAGGCAAAGGCATCAAAGCCGCCCGACTGTGTGGTACGAAAGTCAGCCCCAGCGGCAAGGAGAACGCGGGCTGCGCTGAGATTGTCGGCATGACATGCCCAGTGCCTTTGCTGCGTCTGAGAAATCGGAGATGGATTTACAGCTCGGGGCAAGTTTAACTGCTGCAATTGCTACTCTACTTCAAGCATGCAGCACCAACGCTAGGCTGAAGAACAGACTAGATGCAAAGGGATCGTCTTTCGCGAATCGCGGGCGTTCACATCGGCCTTGGCAGCCAGCAGTACCCTGATAACCTCGTTGCTGTGGAAGAGCGCCGCCAACGAGAGAACGGGCACCCCCTTTGAGATGGCAAACTCCGGCTTCTGCTTGGTGAGCCTTTCATTGCAGTTGGCCCGCTGCTTCAGCAAGGACTCCACCAAGTGTGCACTTCCCGACATGGCCGCATAGCACAAGGGCGTCCATCCGGACTTGTCGCGCTCGTCAATTCTCTGGAATCCGTTCTCGTGCAGAAACCACTCCACGGTGCATGCGGAAGGGTCAATGAAAGGGTCGGTCTGCAATGCAAACCCCGGTATCAGACCCTCCACTGGTGCAACAGCAAGGTCTTGGAAAATGCATGGGGGTTGCGTGTTGAGGAGGAACCGGTAGCCGTGCCAGTCACCCTGGTCCAGCAAGTACCGCAGCTTCTTCCAAACCATCTGAACAAGAACGTTCGCTATTCGGCGCCGATCCTCCTCGTGCGTGAACTCTCCGGACCCTGGTGCATCCAGGTACTTGCGTGCGTCGATCATCAGGTACTGACGTGAGCCGCTCTCGATCACAACCGTGGCCCCATCCTCGCGAGCAGCCAGTTCCCGGGATAAGCGCTCCGTTCCTGGCGTTCTGCGCCCCTACGAGCTCTCAACGCCCTCTCAACCCCGTTGCGCGGAGTTTCTAACAAGGTTTGGAGGAAAAAAAGAGAATCTGTGCTCCGCTCGGCCAAAGCCACTACACCAGCCGCGGCTCGCCCAAGTGTCCTGACCAAGCAGCTGCCGCTGGTTTGCATGCATCAGCGATGGGCACAGGATCACAAAGTACTTGCACCTTGGCTGTGTCGATACGCGAGCCCAAGAAAGCATGTTGTCACTGTGCACCCTCCGACCCGGCAAGAAGTCTCCAAAAACTAAGGCACCGAGAGATGTATGTCACGATGGTGTCGATTGCCTGCTGACGATAGATCGGGGCATCACCATCCATGCCTTGAGGACAGGAGAAAAAGTCGTACCAGATGTACCTGCCAGAAAGTTTCTGTAAAAAAACATAACATCAAACTCTTCTTGCAAGACTCTCCAAAACATCCGAGGCACGTGGACTTGCCGGTGAAACTTTCTGGCGTGGGCTTTTTCACTCGGCCAAAGAACATCTCGGTAACGACGGGGATGTGGATGTCGCTCTTACCTGGCCGACGTGGAAAAGTATGAGCTTCGGCACTCCTACAAAGAGGAAAGCCCCCAAGGAAATGCTTCATGAGCGCTCTCCTCGCAGCCTCGGACAAGGCCAGCGACCTTCTAAGAACTACCCCGCGCCTGATCGGATGTTGCCCAAGGCATCCTTCAGCACCTTCAGCTGTTCTCCTTCGGGATCCGGGTGGTGGTTGGCAAGCCACTGGTGCGACACGAACATGGCGTTCCCCAAGCTCTCCTGCGAAAAACAAGTCGAGGAGGCGCAGGCCCACGATCATCCCTACTCCCAAGCCCAAAAGAACCCTAATCCCTGAGCCCTGAACCCTAACCCCACTGGATGCCCTGGACCTTGAACCCTAAAGTGACTGAGCCTGCAGGCCCCCCCGCCGCCCCCCAGGGCTTAGGGCTTAGGGCTTTAAGGTGTAGTGTTTAGGGTTTAGGGTTTAGGGCTTGAGTCTAGGTATCTGAAAACCAAACCCAAAGCCGAACCATCGGGCAAACCGCAACATCCTGCAAAACAAAAACCTTCAGGTTGAGGCGCCCTGCAGGGAACAAGAGCCGAAGCTCCAACTAGGGCTCCAAAAGCCCCCTACCTACCCTGCAGGGGCGTGTTGTTGGGCAAAATGATTTTGCCCGCGTTGACCCCAAAGCAGTGAGAGACTGTGGGAGCCCAGAAGTCACGAAGCGGCAGCAGTTTCGCATTTCGCAAGCGCAGACGTCCAAAAGCGAGTGTTTCGCGAGCACAGACATCAAAAGCCACGACACTTTCGAATTTGGCGAACACAGACATCCAAGCAAAGCGATGACCGTTTCGCACTGGCGAGCACCAACAGCGAGGACTGTCTCGAGCGTGCTTCTAGAAAAACGCCATCGCCGGCCGCGGACGCCTGTGCGCCGCCTATCGACCTAGCCTCTCCGAACTCTTGCTGTTTGGGGAAGAATCTTGAGTTTTCGAGACGGGCAAGTATGCCTTCGAGTCTACTGCGCCTTTGGTGCCCAAAGCCTGCAAGGAGCACTCCGACGCTTGGGGTTGAGGGCGCGAGTACTGATGGAAGAATCGAGCCATCAGTGCAAGCTCTGATGGAGCCAGCAGCACTCAAGCGACCTAAACACTAACCCGCAACCCAAGCCGCAAAGTTTGCGATGTTCCCCCTTCTACTAACAGTCCTTCACGGGGATTACAGCACCCCCTGTTATAATCCCCATTAAGGACCGGAGTGAAGCTAAGTGGCCCAACTGGAAAGACAGAGGCAGGGAGAGGGGTGGGGAGTAGCGAATCGATTTGCGGGGGGGCGCTCCTCGAACTGCGTCAGCTGGCCAGAAGCCAAGAGATCTTCGTGGCAAATGACTTCCTTCATCTGCAGCAGGATGTCGATAGAGACCTCGCGGAGAGATGCCAAAACTCTGACCCTTAAACCCAGAAACTTCAAGCCTGAACCTCAAACCCAAAGGGCGGGAGACAGAAGGAAGAGGCAGAAGGAACAACAAAGTGATACAAAATGGTTCAGAAAGAGATTGGAAGGAATGATTCGTTGAGTGCTGTCATAATTGTATGAGCACTTCGCTTCACTTCACGCCACGTTTTTTTAATACATTCTTTAGCAGGCCCGATCCTCTGTGTGCTTTGTCTTCATACTATTGGCGAAAGATTACGCTGGTACGTGACAGTTTTCTCGTTACTGCCCACTCATGCTAGCAGCATCACTCAACCATGGGTTCGCAAACAACCATCTTTCGAAGCTGATCAGCTCGCAGTTGGATTGGCCGTTGCACTAGTGATGGGACCCTTGAAAGGTCCGAACTATAAGCTCAATTCACAGCTTTGGGGCATCATGAGCCGAATGGGCTCCGAAGAATCACGATGAATCTTGGAGCTACCGGATGCGATGACGCTCTCCTTTGTTCAGGTTCATGGCTGGCCGGCCCCTTTCACAGTCACTCTTTGTAAGGTGGCAGGCTGTGCTGCCTCCACTTCGCGCACACGACTGCAGATGTTTCCCCTGGTCATGCCAACACCCAGGCCACCCAAGCATCCATCTCCAGTTAATGCGAGGAAAGCGTTCCACTGTTCTCCGTGCATCTTGATCACGTGCGTCTCGTGGTGCCCGTTCCACGCAGCAGGAACCCAAACCCTGAACCTAAGAGAAACTCCACACATGCGGGAGAGTCCGAAAAGGAGATTTATCTCTAATGTTGCTATGTCCCATACATTCTCTTCGTGCTTTAGGGTGAGGGTACCTGTACCCTGCTTTTAGTTCAAGAAGCCTGAAATCTGCAGTGACACCCCGCCACCCGCTTGGGGCAAACCCAAAACCCGAAACCCCAATCCCTAAACCCCTGAAGCCTAAGCCCCTGAACACGCAAAACCCTAAACCCAAGCCTAATCCTCCACACTCTAAACCCTAAAACCTAAAGCCCCACACCCTAAACCCTATACCCTAAACCCCCACAACCTAAACCCTAACCCGAAACCCTAAACCCCCCCACCCTAATCCCCAAACCCCCACACCCTAAACCCGAAACCCTAAACCCCCCCACCCTAAACCCCAAACCCCCACACCCTAAACCCTAAACCCGAAGTTTAAGGTTCTTGGAGGGCCCCACCGTGTACATCGGAAACGGGAGCTGGTCGCCTTCTGCACCTCATGAGGGTTTGGGGCTTAGGGTTTAGTTTAGGGTTTAGGGTTTAGGGTGAGGGTTGAGGGTTTAGGGTTTAGGATTTAAGGTTTAGGGTTTAGGGTTTAGGGTTTTAGGGTTTAGGGCTCAGGGCTTGGGGCTTTGGATCTTCCATAACTTACAAGAGTCCATGGGAACCAGGTGTTCGGGCCCTAACGCCTTAAGGCCTAAACGTTGATGCGAGTTGGGTCTTGGCAGATTTAAGCTTGAAAGTCTCGTGGTCGCAGGGTTCAAGGGTCTAGGGTTTTAGGGATTAAAGATAGGGAGAAGCAGTCGATGGTCGTTAAGTGTATGGCCGTTTCGGTTGCAATTTCCTACAAGAAAGCACTAAAAGGGCAACTGCCACCTAAAGACAGCAAAAAGAACGGGGGTTTCCGAAAGTAGGGGCACCTTATTGGAGTCCTCATTCTAAGGGGATCCCTACTATTTGGGAATCTATATTGGGGGGTCCACTATAATCGTAAACCCCCAAACCCTAAACCCTAAACCCTAAACCCTAAACCCCAATTAGAAACAAAAAATGACAACGCAGTGAGACTGCCTTCCGGGTCCAAGCCATGCCAGGGTCTCACGTGCCAATGGTCCATGGCACTGCTACTGGCAACACCCTAAACCCTAAACCCTAAACCCTAAACCCTAAACCCAGTTCTCAAGGTTCCCATGTAACCACAGAGGTCTGAGGGCTTAGGGTTTAGGATCTCCCAACTGCACACCTTAGGTGGGGCTTTAGGGTTTAGGGTTTGGAGGTTAGGGGAACAACTAGAAGAACAGCTTGGGGCTTTTCGGGATGGAAGAACTTGGAAACCTCAAGCCTAAATCCCAAGAATTCAAGCGGCACGGCCCTTTCTAACCCCTACAGCCCTAACCCCCTTTTCCCTAAACCCTCGCCCCTCAAACCCTAAACCCCAAAGCCCTAAAACCCCAAATCCTAATTAAACTCCAAACCCCTCAACCCTCAGCCCCAAACGCCTGGGCATGCAAATGTCCCACACAATCTAGAATGCCCCCACAGCTTCGAACTGCTAAAGGCCCTAAATCCTCAGCCCTAAAGCCCGCACCCCTAAAACCCTTTCGCCTCAGGTTAAGGTTTGCGCGTTTTGCCCTCCAAGCACATCTAGCCTTTCAACGACCGAAGTCCCCAAGAGCAAATCAGAACCCGGGTAGCTCTGGGTGAAGGCGCTTAGGGCTTCGGGTATCCGGACTGAGAGAAGTTGAGTAGGGTTCACCAGGGACCCAAAAAGGCCTTATGGCTTTGGGTTGTCGCCTAGCTGGCGGTAACCTGATGTACTTACATCTTATCTGCGAACCTCCAGGAATATGACCCTAAACCCTCAACCCTCAACCCTCAACCCTAAACCCTCAACCCTAAACCCTAAACCCTGAACCCTGAACCCTTTGGGGGGTATTGCAGCTGGTCACCTCCATGCTTTTTGGCACAAGGAGCTCCCTTCGGCCAACCGTCACTGATTCGGATTCTGTGGGCATTTCTGGAATTCTCGCCAAGGCTTCGGTATGGTTTAGGGTTTAGGGCTTAGGGCTTAGGGCTTAGGGCTTAGGGCTTAGGGCTTAGGGCTTAGGGCTTAGGGCTTAGGGCTTAGGGCTTAGGGCTTTAGGGCTAGGGCTTGGGGCTTAGGGCTTAGGGCTTAGGGCTTAGGGCTTAGGGCTTAGGGCTTAGGGCTTGGGGCTTAGGGCTTAGGGCTTAGGGCTTAAGGCTTGGGGCTTAGTAAGATGCGGAATGCCCGCAAACTGCGCCACGACGTACCGCGAGCCCGCTTGGCGGGATCAAGGTATGTAAAATGCGTGCACCGCGGGATCCATGGGACCCCCGAAAGGGTGAGCCCTTCAGGAGATCCTATGCCCTATGCAGGTCCTGCGAGCTTTACTTGATAAAGATGGGTGGATTTGCTTACACCTCTGGCTTCTCGTGTTCAGAATTCGCGAACGACCACCGTTCTCAAGCCGAACCCGGTTGAGGTGAAACAACTAGCCTGGATCAGGGCATGAAAAACACGTACACCGGGAACTCCAGCTGGTCCAGCACGCTCCGCTCCCACCGACAGCCATTTCCCAGCGGGAGCCCCGTGTGAGGGTGCAGGGGAGCCCGGCGTTCAAAGCTTTTGCCGTCGGAGACCTGGGACAATGCGTTCTCTTGGTTGGGTGAAAGGCCTGTGTGAGGGTTCGACATGCGAGGCTTCCGAAAACCCTAAAGCCCTAAACCCCTAGATAAGACCTGAAACCCGAAAATCCAACAAAACCCTGAACCTCCACACCTCTAAACCACCTAAACCCCCTAAACCCCCTCCTAAAAGACCCCCTGCTAAACGCCCTTCCGAAACCCCCTAATCTAAACCCCCTGAACCCCCTAACCTCCTAAACCCCCCTTAACCCCCCTCTACATAAACCCCCCTCAACCCCCCTTAAACCCCCCTCAACCCCCTCAACCCCCTGAACCCCCAAAACCCCCTCAAACCCCCAAACCTCCCCTAAACCCCCTCAAACCCCCTCAACCCCCCCAAACCCCCCTGAACCCCCCCAAACCCCCTGAACCCCCTCAACCCCCTCAAAACCCTCAACCCCCTAAACCCCCTAAACCCCCCCAAAACCCCTCAACACCCCTAAACCCGCTGAACCCCTAAACCCCCCTCAACCCCCCCAAACCCCCCTGAACCCGCTCAACCCCCTCAACCCCCTCAACCCCCTAAACCCCCTCAACCCCCTGAACCCTGAGTTGGCTCCGGCTCACCTGGATGCGGCCTTCGCCCCAGCTAGCTGGGCGTCCGTTCTGGAATCTCTCCCTCAGCCCCGTGGCGGGTTAGGGCAACAGGGTATATTTCGGGTCTTCAGGGTACTCAGGGTACTTTTCGGGTATTGAGGGTATTTAGGGTGTTTGGGGTATTTGGGGTATTTGGGGTATTTCGGGTATTTCGGGTATTTAGGGTTTCGAGTATGCAGGGTAAGAATGAAGGCTTCTTCTTGCTTCGGCGCAGCAACAACGTAGCGAGAGGAACTGGCAACTAACTATCCGGACAAGAACTACCCTAAAGTATGCCTTCGGCGGAAGGGACGTCTTAGTTGGCATTGGGATTGGATAATGAGATGCAACAGCAAAGTGCGGTCACAGTGTTTTGTATGACAATAAACAGTCTAGTATATTGCATATTGCTGTTGGCTGATGGGCGCCATCAATCATGCCTCACCATTCTCTTCAGCTTCCACGATCGACGTCAAACCCACAACCCTAAACAATGAACAACCAAACCCAACACCCGTATCCCCTTCCCATCATGATGCACGCCCCAAAAGAAGGCAAGTGGTGAAGCTGACATTCTTAATGCAGGAAAGCACATAAGTACATCTGGAGGATGGGAAGGGATTGCAACCCTACAGCCTAAACTCAGGGCCAAGCACCCTCCAAAAGCACCCCAAAGCACCCGAAAGCACCCCAAAGCACCCCCTAAATAGCAACCCCCCAAAATCACCGGATATGACAGGGCCCTTCGGCCCGGACCGTCCCCTGCGCAAAAACCTGAGGGGGGGTTTCCTTTGCCTGCTAGCCCCACAAGTCCAACCACTGAAGGTTTGCAACTGTCGTAAAAGTTGGCCCTGGCAACCCTCTTTGGAAGCTGCTGTATGCTAGGGATTCCTAGTGTCCGAAGTCTCCCAAATCTCCCAGTATTCCAAGTGACCCAAAGTGTCCCACTCGTCAAAAGTTTGCCAAGAGTTTTAACCTATTCGACACGTGAATGGTGATTGGGTGGCCTTGAATTGATCATGTCTTCACACTGCTGCGTCCAGCTGACCGATGCTACACCTCAAACCCTAAACCTTAAACCCTAAACTCTAAACCCTAAACCCTAAACCCCTCCAAGTCCTGCGTCAAAGTCTCGGGGGCAAGCCAAGTTCCTCCGCCACTGCGTCCGAGAGCTCCGAAGATCCAGCGCCAAATCGCTCCACCCAAGACTGGGTGGTTTGGGGTTTTGGGGTTGAGGGTTTGGGGTTTAGGGTTTGGGGTTTAGGGTTTGGGGTTTGGGGTTCTAGAAATTGGGGTCAAGGGTTTAGGCTTTCAAGCTTCGCGTCAAGGGTTTAGCGTGTTTGGGTGGCTTGCGGGAGTTTGGAAGTCGTTGGGGTCTACAGAGTCGCATTTGTTTTTTGGTCTGCTTGGCCCTGGGGAACTGTGGGGATTTGAGGGGTTTGGCAAGTGCGGGCTCGGTTTGGGGTTAAGGGCTTGGGGGTTTAGGGTTTCGGGATTGGGGCTCGGTGCTTGGGGTTGAGGGCTTTGGGGGGGGTGTGTAGAGGTTCATGGCATCGGGGCTTTCGAGCTTGAAGGCGTCTCCGCAAAATTTTGGCAATGGAAGGGGGGAGCCTGTTAAAAATTGTGGGTTATGTGAGTGACATAGCACGCCCATAGAACTTTCAAACTTTCTTCCAGTCCACCCAAGATAATGCTTTGAAAATCCCCCAAGATCACCACAAACGCCGCTCCCGTTTGACAATGACCGACGGCAGAGTTTGAGGATACCCTCATTTAGGGTTTAGGCTTTAGGCTTTGGTTTGCGTTTAGCCTTTAGCGCAGGGTTGGTTAGCTTGTGGAGCAGTTGGAGTTCACCGTTCAGGATTCAGAGTTCAACCCTTTTCCGAGGCACGTGGGAGAAAATGTTCGACACTGTGCAGCAGATCACGCAGCCCTCCGCGTGGCGCTGCCGAACCAGCCGCAACCAGTGGCAGCACCAGCCTCACTTGAGGGGGAGGGGGGGGGGAGGCTGCTCCATCCCTAAACCCTAAACCCTCATACCTCTTGCAGGTATGGTTCTCCAAGGGGAGCTACAGGTGAAACTTGGGATTCTCACCCTAAACCCTAAACCCTAAGCCCTAAACCCTAAACCCTAAACCCTAAACCCTAAGGCCCAAGTGGCAGGGAAAGCGCTCGCCCACTTCTGGAATGCGCCGGTGGTTCCGCGACTCGACCACGGAGGCCCACTTGGCATCCCGACCATCGGCCGGTGGGACCGGCACTCTATCCTAGGCTGGCCTTCAACCCTAAACCCTAAACCCTAAACCCTAAACGCTCTGAAAAATGTCCCTAATTTTAGACTCTATCCTAGGATGGCCTTTAAATATTAAACCCTCTGAGAAAGATTCCTTCTTTTCGTCCCCTTAAAAGCCCCAAAAAAACGGAATCTGTAAAATGTCCCAAGGCCTACCTAGTGTCTCTCCCGCAGTCGCGATTCGGGTGCAGCCACTTGCCGCTGTCAGCTGTGTGGCCGAAGACCAGCTGTTGGTCAAACCAGACGGTCGCTGTGCCTGGGAAAACGATCAGTGCACCGTCCCCATAGGCTCGGGTTTAGGGTTTAGGGTTTAGGGGTTTAGGGTTTAGGGTTTAGGGTTTAGGGGTTTAGGGGTTTAGGGTTTAGGGTTTAGAGTTTAGGGTTTGGGGTTTAGGGTTTAGGGTTTAGGGTTTAGGGTTATCTCAGACCGGATCCGAACCTCTCCCGTGCATGCCAGGCCGCTGCCCTCGCGCACCTTCATCTTCTCCATGACCTCAGCGTACGCTTGGCCACCTGGCACAGAAGCAGCTGCCGTCGGAAAGCATGTCCGCATGTAGTCGAGGCAGTCGTAGCTCTCGTAGTAGGTAAACACCAAGCCGGTCCCAGCCGCTTGACTACACTCCGCCCGGAAGCTGGGGTCCTCCCGCAGACTCTCTGAGGCGAAGTGGGCCAACCACGAAGCTTTGGTCTCGCGCACGGCTTCTAAGAGGAACTCCCGGTCGTTTTTGAGCTCTTCGGAGGCATACTCCAGGGCGTAACCATGCAACTTCACAGCAGCCAGCACGACCTGCGGGTGGCCGGGGAGCACAGCCTCGGCGCTGACCCATGCGGACCCAGAAAAAGAAAGGCACTGCAGCCTTTGCAAAGCTTGCTCTTTCTTCCGGGAGCTCTGCGGGGCCCTAATTCGCACCTTCCCTATCAAGAACAGAGAGAGAGAGAGAGAGAGAGAGAGAGAGAGAAAGAAAGAGAGAGAGAGAGAGAGAGGGAGAGAGAGAGAGAGAGAGCGAGAGGGAGAGAGAGAGAGAGAACCCTCACAGAGAACAACCCAGGAGCAGCGAAGCTGAATGGAGCCCCCCGAAGTTGACGGTACCAAAAGTCCAGTTTGTCCTCGGCTTGCTGGATACTTTCTCTTCAACTTATGGTTTATAGAAGTTAAGGTCAGGGTTGTGGCTTAACAAGAACGGTCCTCAACTCGGACAGCCAAGACCCACTGCCAGCCCGGAAAATAGGGTTTAGGGTTTAGAGGAAAAAAAGGTTCAGGGAAAGCATAGCTAACTTGCTGGTACTTAGCAAGGAAAGCAAGAATTCGGGAGCTGGGTTTCCTGGAAAGGAACCAGAACAGGGTGCCTACTTCTCGAATTTCATGGGATGTTTAAAACACCCACAGAAACAAAAGCAACTGGAGAATCCACAAGATAACTCTCCCTGACTCTACGAACCCAAACTGAAACTCGCGGCTAGGATAATGTCCTGCAAACCCTGAACGCTAAACCCAAACCCCAAACCCTAAACCTGAACCGTAAACCCTAAACCCTAAACCCGACCGCCGAGCCTCAACTAAATGGGGTAGGGTTTGGGGCGGGTTTGGGGCTTACTGTTTGGGGCTTCGGGTTTACGGTTTAGGGTTTCCTGTGTCGGGTCTATCGGGCTTTAGGCTTTAGGGTTAGGGTTTAGGGTCTAGGTCGTTGGGGTCACTCGGGTCGTTCGGGTTTCGGGATTCGGGTACGGCCGCGAGCGCGCGCTGAAGGGCTTGCGCCAAGGCTCCGCGTTGAGATTCGGCGTTCTCCGACGGCCAGCCTCGACGACAGAGTTTGAGGTTGAGCACCATTGGGGGTTTACGATATTCGGGGTACCTTCTTGGGGTCCTGATTACAACGGGATGTGACTACTTGGGGTCTGTATTCGGGGTCCCTGGTTCTCGTAAACCCGCGATATCTCCACAGAACCCAGTGACGCAACAGATGAACCCCATACCGAGCCCTGAACCCCCGCAGAACTCTGAGCTCTTAAACTCAAAACCCAAAACTCTAACCGGAAAACCCTAAGCACTGAACGATGCACTCTAACAGCCTCCTCTGTAAAGCACTGCAATACGAAGCTACAACTCCATGGCTCACGTCTGGGGTCGGCGCAGCAACGCGTCGGGCTTCAAAGCAGCGGTCACAGAGGTCGAACTTGCAGACCTTCATATACATATAGACACATACATACATACATACATACATACATACATACATACATACATACATACATACATACATACATACATACATACATACATACATACATACATACATACATACATACATACATATATGTATACAAAAACAGATATACATAAGAACTATACGTATATATACAGACAAACTAGATACAATTGCAAATATTCATGCAGATATACACATACACTTAGATATAAACCAATATAAACATAAACATCAATATGCATAAAAATATGCTGACAAGTATAGATACAGATGCAAGTATATACATGCAAATATGTTTACGAATGTAAACACAAACATACATGTAACTACAGAGTAGGGTTCAAGGCTTAGGCTGTGGAAGTATCGGGTTTAGGGTTTAGGGTTTAGGGTTTAGGGTTTAGGGTTTAGGGTTTAGGGTTTAGGGCAGTCCGAAACTCCTGTGCACATCGCAAAGTACAACAAAAGCCACTGATACCCCGCAGCCCAAGCCTAAACCTTACAAGGAAGCAGGGTCCAGGGTTCCTTCGTTGAGGGAAACCCCAAACCTTCAACCTTTTAACAGCCTTAGATCTTACACCCAAATCCTACCTACATAGCCCCTTTCTACCCCAAAACTTCTGAACTGGCATGCCTCGCAGCGGTGGTGCATGCCTGTGGTCTGGTAGAGGTCAGAAACTCAGCGGATGGCGAAGTCTGGAGTTTCGGTTTAGGGTTGGGGGGGGTTTGGGGGGTTTAGGAAAGTCTTGCCCCAAAACCCTGAGCCTCCAACCCTTCCAGCCGCGAAGCGCTGTACGCCCTAAGCCCTAAAGCCTGCAGTCCCTTGGCCTTGGCAGATTAGGGTTTCGGGTTTAGGGTTTAGGGTTTAGGGTTCAGGGTTCAGGGTTTAGGGTTTAGGGTTTGGGGTTTAGGCGCGGGGCTGCCACGTTTGCATCCACCTTCCAGCTCGGCACCGTGGCAATGCCAATGGGTGTCCCTGCCATCGATGCTGAAAAATGAAGACTCTAAACCCCAAACCCGTAAACCCCTAAACCCCATTACCCTAAACCCAAATCCCAAACCCTACATCCTAAACCCCAAAACCATAAGCCCAAACCCTAAATGTTGCTTGAAAGCCTGCACTGGAATGGCCAGAGGGGAACAGCCTTTTCAAAAAACTGTTGGCTGCGAAGCCTACTTGGTTCATTTGTGCTTTGGCAGAAATGACGATTGATCACCGCGTGGACAGCACCCACCCGGTGGTGTACCAACATGGTCGTGGGATGCGTTTGCTGGCGCAGCTGCGTGACGAGCTCAATACCCTGCGGCGGCACGATCTGTGGGGACCGCTTCGCAGTGGGTCAACAAACCCCACGGCCGCTATAGGCGTGAAACACGTCGATTTCCGAAATGACACAAACAGGATTGAACTGCAGTTGTCCTGCACGAACTAGACATGCTCTTCAGGCAAGAAGATGCCGGACGGCCACACGACAACGTTCAGAACAAGCCAGTGGGTCCACCGGGTGCTGTTTTCGATTTCGTGAAGATGCTGCCCAGGAGTCGATGCTCCACCTTGTGCTACGCCTGTGCACCCTGTATGCAGCTGGTCGTGAAGATGCGGCGCGGCAAGGCCATCACTTTGGATGTTCTTCCCGCATTTGTCAGCGATTGTAGTCCTGAAGATCGCGAGGGGGTGTTGGACTTCCGTGGTGATATGGAGGTCATTCTCCATCCGCTGTGGTTTTGCTTGGATATGAACCGCAAAGGAAGCATTTTCTCCTTTGCCAGATACATCTACCCTCTCTGCTTGCAGTGCTTCTGTCCACGGCCCGGGGCTTAGCAGTTCCAGGTCCGGGCAGGCATCCGCTGTGAGTGCATATTGCCTCCCCGACGGCTGGACATACGACTTCAACACAGCGACGTCTCCTTTGTGGATTCTAGGGTCCGCGCAAACAAGACGACAAGACTGCCTTGTGTGGTAGCAGCAATAATAATAAGAATACTAGTCATAGTAACACTACAGATTCAGTAATCGAAGTGATGACAATACATAACAATAGCAGCGATAGGAATAGAAACAGTGGTAGCAATGGCAATAAGATAGAAAAAGGAGTGAGAGTACTTCGAAAAAGTTGCAATGGCAGTACAAATGGTAGGAATAGAAATAATCGTAGTACCGGTAGCATTGATCATCGAAAAAGCAGCTAATAGTTGTTATAGGCAAGAATAAATGACAAACAACATGGCAAATAGTAGTAACTAGTACATAGCAACCGTGAATAGCAAGTAGAAAATCATAAACAGTGACTCGTACACAGCGAGTAGCTTATACTACATACGACATACTATATATTGCCTACTACATACTGAGTGTTGCATACAACCTTCTGCATGCTACATACTACATGCTACATACTACATTCTGCATGCTACATGCTACATCCTACATACTACATGCTACCTACTACCTACTACCTACTACCACCTACTACCTACTAGCTTGTGACAAGCTATTACCTACTACATACTACATATTGCATACTACATACTATGTACTACATTTACATTCTACATGCTACATACTACATACCATATACTATATACGACATACTATATACTATATACTATATTCCATATAATATATACTATATACTATATACTATATACTATATACTATAGACTATATACTATATGCTATATACTATATACTATATACTATATACTATATACTATATACTATATACCTTATACTACATACTTTTTACTATGTACCGTACAGTTTTTTACGATATCATATATACGATACACTGCGCATTTTGCACGCCTGTTTATGTCCAAGGTCTGCAGGTCGTGGCCATTGAGGCAAGTCGGTGGAGCAGTCTCCTGCTGGGCCGCGGGCAAAACAGTCCGGTAGGGTTGAGGGTTTAGGGTTTAGGGTTCAGGGTTCAGGGTTCAGGGTTTAGGGTTTAGGGTTTAGGGTTTAGGGTTTAGGGTTTAGGGTTTAGGGTTTAGGGTTTAGGGTTTAGGGTTTAGGGTTCAGCACTCCGGGTCGAGCAGCTTTATGGTTAAGCTTTATTTACGGCTCGGATATAACACCCACCCACCCAGAGAATCCCACTACATTGAGAAAGCCAAAAACGGCCAAATTCTGAAAATAAAGCGGCCAAATTCTGAAAATAAAGCGGCCAAACTCTGAAAATAAAGCGGCCAAATTATGAAAAAAAACGGCCAAATTCTGAAAATAAAGCGGCTAAATTCTGAAGCGGCCAAATTCTGAAAATAAAGCGGCCAAATTCTGAAAATAAAACGGCCAAATTCTGAACATAAAGCGGCCAAATTCTGAAAATAAAGCGGCCAAATTCTGAAATTCAATTAGCCTTTGGCCTGATTTTGGCTCATTCTGAAAATAAAGCGGCCAAATTCTGAAAATAAAGCGGCCAAATTTTGAAAATACAATTAAGGTGTAAATATATGGTAGAGAGGGTTTAGGGCTTACGTAAGGCTTGGGTTTAGGACGTCTCACCTCCCAGCGGCAATAATTACCATGTGACACACCAGGGCTGTGGGACGGACAATGTTCATGGGCGTTTCCGCCCACCAAAGGATGCCGGCCTAGGCCTTGGGGTAATCTCTTCTAGAGAGGATCGTGAAACCCCCCGTCTAAGTCGCAGCACTCTTGTGGTCGCACCACCCGTAGGTTTTAGAGTCGTAGTTTAGGGTTGAGCTCGTTCTCATGATCTCTCCGCCCGGTGCGTTGCCGTCTGTTTAAGTGCCCTGTAAGTGGCCCCCTGCATCCGTTTAGCGCCTGCGCATGTTGGGGAGTTAGGCCTTGGGGGGGGGGGGGGGGGGGGGATGGGAAGTTATATGTAGGGTTGCAAGTACTCCAATGCAGGCAATAGCCAATTAGAAGTCTATTCAAAAACCCAATTGAAGATGCCTGTGAACCTGCAAGTCGAGCTCCTTAAAGATTCCACAGACCAAAATCTAACCCTTCCAAGATTGCAAGAAGGGTTTAAGGTCTAGGGTTTAGGGTTTAGCACTCAGGGTTTAGGGTTGAGGGCCCCTAACCCCCAAACCCTTTTTGACTTTAGTGCAGGCTCAAAGGCTAGCATGTCAGGCCGACCCGAAAGACCCTCTAAACAACCCTCAAACCCTAAACCCTAAACCCTAGACCCTAGACCCTAGACCCTAAACCCTAAACCCTAAACCCTAAACCCTAAACCCTAAACCCTAAACCCTAAACCCTAAACCCTAAACCCTAAACCCTAAACCCAAACCCTAAACCTTAAACCCAACTCCAAACCTTCACGGCAACCTCAGGCCCGCACCTCCGTGCTCTTCTGGCTCCTCTGAGATGGTGACTTGTCATATGCCTTCTTGACAGCCCGTCTCGCCTTGAGGCTGCTGGGTTTGAGGGTTCAGGGCAGAGGGGCTTAGGGTTGAGGGTTTGGGGCGGACATGGACTTCCCCGAAATTTTAGGGCCCCTGTCTAGACCCTACACCCAGGACCCGACACTCTCAAGGGCCAGTGGCCGGCCAGAAGTGAAATACGCCGCCCACGCCTTCGGAGGTTTTAGGGTGTATAGGGTTTAGGGTTCAGGGTTAGGGTATCGGGTTCAGGGTTTATGGCTTTGGGGGGAGGGGGGGGGGGGTTTAGGAGCTTTGGGCAGCTGCAAGTGGGAGTACGGGTGCAAGCTCCAGGCCACAACTGGCACTCTACACCCCAAACCCTTAAACCCCGGGCTCGGCACTAGTTCGAAAGCTCGACGGGAACACGCTGGCACAGGCTTACCGATAGCGTGCTAGATTCCCATATGATTTTTGCCATTGTTATCCCAATATTTTGGGATTTCCCTTTTATAGCCCAAAAAAGAATGGAAGCCCCTGAAGCCTTCAGGGACCCTTAAAAAGGGTACTCTCAGTTGTCGGAAACCCCAGTATGTTTCTATATGATTGCGTGACTGTACCATTGTAATAATATATATCATGATACTGCTATATCATTAAAACTATAAGATCAATATACTCGTGTACTGTTACACAATTTTACCGTATGGTTAGATTGCAATATCGCTATGTGCTTAAATTATTATGTCATTGCTATGGTGATTTTATGATACTGGAAAAAAGGGTATATTGATATGCTAATATAGAAGTAAAAGACAACAATGTTGCAATAATGTTACATCAGTATCCTGCTACATTCTTATAACCGTATAATGACATATTACAGTCTGTCACGAAGGCAAGGGGCATTATTTCCATCACAACTTCTTACTATTGCCATGCCTTCCTTCCCACGAACCCACAGCAAGCCGAGTTGCAAGCCTCCCTCTAACCCCCCGAAGCCCCGTAAGCATGCACTGAAAAACCAAAGTAGACGATGGGCCTTCCCTCCACCACGTCCCTCGGAAGCCCCCGTTGCTGTCCACCAGCCTGTCATCGTGCAGTGAACCCGGGAAGTGCTACAGTCCAGCCACCTGAACCCTAAACCCTAAACCCTAAACCCTAAACCCTATCAGCACTCCCATCACTCCCAGGGGTTTGCTGGTGCTGCTCTGAACATCTGAGCACTCCAAGGAATTGTGGGGATACTTGGGGGAACCCTAAACCCTAAACCCTAAACCCTAAACCCGAAACCCTAAACCCTAAACCAGGGCTTCTTGTCTGGGGTTGGATATTACTCTCTGGGGAGGAGGGTGGGAACTCCGGAAACTCTGAGATAATACTTTGGGGGGAGCTTCCGGGACTTTTTGGAGATTCTCTGGGGCCCAGTTGGGCACTCCGGGAGAATGTGGGTAGACTCTGGAGTTGGGCACTCCAGGGGACTCTCTGAAGATACACGGGGTTAGGCAGTGGCAAGACTGTCTGCAAATACCATCGGACCATGGGATTGTGCACTCCCGGGGGGTTGGGCACTCTAGGGGACACTCTGAGGTTGGGCACTCCAGGCGGCCCTCTCAAAAATTGATCACCCCAGGAAATACTCTGCGGTTGGGCACTTCAGGGGGACTGTTTGGGAATTCTCTGAACCAAGGCACTCCTGGCACTCTCTGGGAAAAATCCTGGCGTTGGGTACTCCCCGTGGGGTTTAAGGTTTGGTTTCGAGCTTACTTTGGGTTCATGGCTCCCCGAACCCTATACCCATAAGTCGGGGGGAACTGGAACAAATGAAGCCAGAGTTTTGGGGACCCTAAACCTTAAACCCTAAACCTTAAATCCTAAACCTTAAATCCTAAACCTTACATCCTACGCCCTGAAACCCCGCAGCCTGCCGCGATACTGCACTGCTTGCCCCTCGCCGGACCTGGGCTGCCAAACACCCCTTGACTTCAGGGGCCGACACAAGAGGGCCCTTGCGTTATAAGGGACCCTCATAGGGACGATCTTCCGGCTGCTTAAGTGGGTCGGGATGAATGTACGGCTCTTTACGGGCGCGAGAAAGCGATGTGGGGTTGAGGGCCCCCTGGAGCCTAAAACTTTCAAACCCTTATCCACAAGCCCACAGACCCCAACAACCCTTAGCAGACCCCTAAACCATGAGCTGATGTTCCCTGAATCCATGAGCTGATGTTCCCTGAACTTGGCCTGGACTTTGGGCTCGGGGTTTCAGGGTTTGATCCAGGGCGCTTCTTCTCGAAGCTGATCACCTGAGGGAGCTGTCTTGAACTCTTCTGAAGGCGTAGGGCTTCGGGTTTAGGGTTTGGGGGTTAGGGTTTAGGGTTCCTTCGGGGGATCCAGGAGAGCATCGGAAGCAAGTCCCACCTGCAGTGTGCGATCCAGCTTCCCGGAGAGCGTGTACGCAGCACCTCTTCTGATTCAGGTTTGGGGGGTTTGGCTCGGAGTTGAGGACCCTAAAGCCTAAACCCTAAACCCTAAACCCCTAAACCCTAAATCCTAAACCCCTAAACCCTAAAATCTTTAGGGGTTGTGGGCCTGAAGTTTAAGGCTCGGGAGGAAACTAAGCCACGGCACCCCAAAACCCCAACCAGCCAAGGCTCCTCATGGTTTAGGGTTTTAGGGCTTTTTTTTTTGGGCTGCCATGCGCTTCCAACATGCGTGCTGCCCATAGGGAAAATATTCGGTGCGCGCGTTGGCGCAGTGCGTAAGAGGTCGCCAAACTGGGGGTCTTTGGAAATTAAATGTTTGAGACCCAGAAAGTCCCTTCAGGCTTCAGAGTCTTGGGCGGAGTAGTGTGTATTGTAGAATCTTACAGCTTCCTGGGAAACTGGCTCGAACCAGTATCTGCAGGGGTGTCCACGTGTTCGGGATTTGGTAAACTTAATACGGTCCTTGTAGCCCGGAGAGAACACCACGTGGTGAATGGGGTCTTGCGGACATGCATTAATAGAACTTTGCAATAAGGTTTTATGGTTTCGGGTTTAGGGTTTAGGGTTTAGGGTCGAGGGTTTAGATTTTTGGGTTTAAGGGTTTAGGGTTAGGGTTTAGGGTTTAGGGTTTAGGGTTTAGGGTTTAGGGTTTAGGGTTTAGGGTTTCGGGTTTAGGGTTTAGGGTTTAGGGTTTAGGGGTTAGTTTAGGGCCTTGGATATGTTGTCCTAACTATGACCCTACTTGCAACTAACACTAACTCATGAAAATTCCAAGTAGGGGGATGCAGGCGGCACCTTCTTTGTCGAGCCCCTCGCCACGGACCAGCCCATTCTCGCCGAACTCGAGATTGAACTGGCCGACGTCGTGTCTCTCTAGCCTGTGCAAAGTGTGTGTTTTCCAGAAGGCTTCAGGATTGACGACGGGTCGGTTAGGCAACAAGGGGTTTCGCGCATAACTCCACACCCCAAACCCACAACGCTGAACCCTTAAACCCTAAACCCTAAACCCTAAACCCCAAACCCTCAACCCTAAACCCTAAACCCTAAACCCCAAACCCTCAACCCTAAACCCTAAACCCTAAACCCATTGCCGAGGAGAGGCGACAGGAAGTAGTAGCCGGTCCAAGCCCCAGTGAGGGCGTCGGCCTCTCGGGCACAGGGGAAACTTAGTTGGGTTTGGGAGATCTTTGGGAGGTGTGTTGTCTATTTCTTAACCTCAACCCTCAACCCTCAACCCTCAACCCAAAACAAGAAACCGTAAACCCCAAACCATCCCAAGCCCTAAACCCCAGACCCGAAACCCTCAACCTTCACCTCTAAAGCGGCACCTGGAGCACGCTGAAGTCCTCCGTATTCGGCCTCGGTGGCGAAAGGAAGCGGCAACCCGAGACCAGCTTCTTTTGGAAGGTTCCGGCTTTTGGTCTTCAGGGTTCCCGGTTCGGGCTTGGGGTATAGGGTTTGGGGTTTAGGGTACAGCCTAAAGGATATCTTAATGAGGGTGCTTAGGGGCATCCCCATACCCGAATACCCAAACCGCTACATCCAAAACCCTAAGTTCCCAACCCTTTACCCTGAATCCCAAACCTCCTTCTGATTGAATTACGGTGTTATTTTCCAGCACTCCCAAAAAAAAGGGACACCCTCAGCAATGTCCCTGTGCAGCCCGACCAACCCGTAACCCTAAGGCCCAACTCCGGAACCCTAAACCCTAAACCCTAAACCCTAAACCCTAAACCCTAAACCCCTAAGAAACGACTGTGAACCCTGTGTTCATGTAAGGCAGGGGACTGGAGCCTCGCAGTGCTTGAAGGAACTGACGATCGTCTCCAAGATCGTCTCCAGGACCTTGGCTCCGCAAGCAAGGCTCGGGGTTTGGGGGTTTCGGGTTTGGGGTTGAGGGTTGAGGGTTTAGGGTTTAGGGCTTAGGGTTTAGGGTTTTGGGTTTAGGGTATAGGGTTTAGGGTTTAGTTTGGGGTTGAGGGTTGAGGTATAGGGCTTAGGGTTGAGGGGGTCTTGGGCTTAGAAACTCAGGGATTCACAGCTTTGGGGTTCAGAAGGCTTTCGGCTGCGGACATGGGCAGTCAGAATACTACCCAATGATCCTCCAAGTAAGAGACCCTCAACCTAAACCCTGAATGACCCTAAACCGTAAACCCTCAACAACCCTGGCATGCTGCCCCGCAGCTGGGGGGAGCCCAGCAGACGAAATCCACCCTGAGTGGGAAGAACATTGCAAGGATCTCGCTTGAAGATTTGGGGTTTTCGGGTTTTGGCTTAGAGTTTAAGGTTTCATGATGCCTTGGCCAGGCCTCCAAGGTGCCGACAAGTCGGTTCAGGGCGTAGAAGGTACTTTGGGTAGTCTGAACTCAGGCTTTTACGAGGGAAACTCTTTTGCCTTCTCACCCCAATCCTAAAAACCCCCTACACTGCCCAACGGCTTCTCTGCGCGCCCACACCTCTCAACCTGTTGCGCAGATTCCTGGTTCGCTAGTGTGAGCATGGCCGCACATGTCACTGGTGTGCAGGACTTAGGGTTTGGGGCTTCGGGATCCGCAGCGCAGACTTCTAGAGTTACTGAAAGATCCTTGGAGAAGCTTCGGCAAGACCCTAAACCTGGGTTTAGGGTGTTCAGGGCTTAGGCGCCCGAAGTTTGAGCAGGAAGTGGCCCAACAACACCCAAAGACTCTTGAAGCTTCATGGACAGCTACACGTAGTGCTAGAAGTACCCCAAATAGGTTGTGACCCTGAACCCTAAACCCAAAACCCTAAATCCCCTAAACCCTCAATACACCCTAGACCCTACCTCTAACCTGAAAGCCATGCCCTGAAATGCAAGCAGTGGCCCTACGGGTGGCCGTGTGGGGAGGGGCCAATGTGAACCCTCAACCCCAAACGATACTCACCCCTAAACCCTAAACCCTAAACCCTAAACCCTAAACCCTAAACCCTAAACCCTAAACCCTAAACCAAACACCATCCTCCGTCTACCTGTTCTGTGAGATTTCCATTCTCGAGGGCCGAGGCAGGCAGTTCTGAAGTCTGACGCTCATGTGGGGTTTTGAGTTACTAGAGTTTTGACAAGGGTGCAGGGTTAGGGGTTTAGGGTTGGGGTTTGGGGTCTCCAGTCGGTCTCCAGGGTTTTGGGGTTCGGGGCTTAGGCTGTATTTAGCTGGGAGGCACACGTGCAGGGTTACAAGTAAGTAGGGTCTCAAGCACCCCAAAAAGCGATGATCGCCGCCTGGAAATACACTTAGCTACCCGTGAACCTCCAAGTAGGGCTTGGGGCTTGCGGTGGCAAGAGCCCTCAGGCCCAGAACCACACCCAGACCCTAAACCCTAAACCCCGCCGAAACCTAACCCCTAAACCCCAAAATTTGAACCCTACACCCTAAACCCTGAACAGTAAACCCTAAACCCTAAACCGTGAACCCCAAACCCCAAACCTTGAACCCTTGAGCTCCCCCCAGCCTCGCCTGGCCGGTGGGCAGGCTCTGTCGCCTCAGTTGTCACTTCTTTGGTTGGGGATGAAAGGTCTAAAAACCAAGGGGACTATGGGGAACTGTTGGCAACGGGATTTCGGGTTTCCGGTTTCGGGGTCAAAGTTGATGGGGCTTAGTTGGCCCTACTAAGTGAGAGATTGTGGCGACTGTTGAACCCCTGAGGCCAAGTAAAGCTCCATGAAGGATCAGGGTTGTCGGCTTTCTGGGAGTCTTGAAGATGTAGGGTCTAGGGCACACCCAAAACCCTAAAACCCTAAACCCTGAACCCTAACCCTAAACCCTAGTCTCAAACAACCCCGAAAAGCACCCTGAACGCCCCCTCCTTGCGGCCCTGAGTCCTTGCCTTCTCTGCTGGTGCGCGGGGTGCCGCAGCACCCGCAGCCGTGGCACCCACAGCATCTGGGGGTTTCCGAAAGTAGGGGGGGGTTAGGGTTTAGGGTTTAGGGTTTAGGGTTTAGGGTTTAGGGTTTAGGGTTTAGGGTTTAGGGCTTAGGGCTTAGGGCTTAGGGCTTAGGGCTTAGGGTTTAGGGTACCCTTTTTGGGGGGTTCCTACAATACGGATTGGGGAGTAGTTGGGGGGTCTATTCGGGGCACCCCTATTTTGGAAATTGCCACCTAGGACAAAGCTTCAGGGGTTTTAGTTCAGGGTTTTAGTTTGGGGTGCTTAGGGAGTGTTTTGGGCACCTTTTAAACCCCCACACGACCCCAATAAATCTCTCAAAACTGCAAAAGTCTTGTAAAGAGTGGATGGCTGGTTTAGGGTTTGGGGTTGAAGCTTCAAAGCCTACAAGCCGTACACCAACAAAGCGTCACCAACCCTTAATCTCCCTGTAAACCTTTAACCCTAAACTCTGAAACCTGAACTGAAAACCCTAAACTCGGATTTGCAAGCACCCTCAAATACGCCTCCGGTGGGCCACTCCCTCTCCGACGGCTTCTTCCCCACGCTCTCCGAGCTCGCATCCTTCTTCGGGCTTTTTGGTTTAGGGCTTGTTCATGGGTTCAGGGTTTCAGGTTCGGTTTAGAACCTAAACCCGTCAAAGTTCTCCTTGTTCTTGCGGTACCGCTTGGCTCGGTTGCTCGCTTGCCCGAAGCTCGCACCGGATCCCATGGCAACATGGATGCTTAATTGGCTGACAAGGGCTTCGAGTCCAGTCTGGGCTAAAACTGCAACACCTTAACTGAGAAATGCCCGCCTGGATCGTGAATTTCTGCCACCTTTAAGCTCAAGGAACCTCCTGCTTGCAAGTTGCTGCGTTTTCCTGCTTGCTAAACTCACCTTGACACCGAAATCACTACGCGTGTACTGCCTCGTGTTGCATGCAACAGAAGTCCCAGGTAATACCTCCCTAAACCCTGAACCCTACACCCGCAACCCGAAAACCTAAACCCTGAACCCTAAACCCTAAACCCTGGCTATTTTCTACTTCTCTAAAGGCAGATATCAGTCTCTCAGAGCTTCGCTGTTAGCCACTCGTTCCTCCGTCCTCGCGTATGGCCTTGGGAGATCGTTCTCGCGGAGTTTGGCAGCTTTCGGAGACTTTGCAGCACGCTAAAGGATTCGAGTACATTACAGTGTTCTTTGTCTTAGCATAACGGTAGCATATTGCAGAATGTATGAAACCAGATCACAATTCGCACTCGGTAGAGAATGCAACGTTTCTGCCCGAGGGCGGAACATGGCGGAGCCAGCCAGTTCCATGTAGGGTTTAGGGTTTAGGGTCTAGAGTTTAGGGTTTAGGGTTTAGGGTTTACTGTTTAGGGTATGCGAAGCGTGGAATCGGACCGGAAATCCCATTCCCGATGCTAACACGAGATGGTTTCTTCATTCGGATGTCCCCGCAAAACATGTCCCATCCTCATCCAGTTCGACTTTCTCAACATGGTCGTTTCATCAGGAATGCAGAGACTGGTATGGGATTCTCTGAATACAAATACCTTTTCCGGGACCCTGCCGAATCGGATATTCTGTGAAGGGGTGCCACTATTTTGGGAGAAGACGAAACGTTTTCAAACGAGCGAAAGGTTGTCCCAATGTAGGGCCAACCCTCAACCCTAAAGCCTAGATCTTACGCCTGGATATGAGAGAAACTCCCTTTTTCGGAGCCTGGCCTGCAGGCCCCAGTCGCCATTAACTGAACGTTGGTTGCAGAACTTTTCTGCTGCATGCGCTGTGAAGACGCGAGTGAGATTTGGGCGACCGCATCCTTACCATCCTACCTCCTACCACCCCCCCTGCCAACGCAGGGGCACAGCGAAAGAAAGGGACCCATGAGTTAGAAATGCGGACTTTGGCAGACTCTGGTTCTCACACTGACATCGGGGAACCCTTCTTCCATCGCTACAGGGTCATCCCAGGTGGGATCCAATGCCACAACAAAGGTCGTGTGCACTGGGTACGCTGGGATAGGTCTGAGATGCAAATACGATCGAATGTGGAAATAGGTCCTTTTTGGCCTGAGGCCTTTGGCAGCTGCTAGTCTAGATTTCGGTCCAACATGTGGGAGTTGTCGGAGAGACAAATGCCATCAGTTAACTGCGGGACAGCCAAGTGCTGCATCCTCCCATCGCAGCTGCATCAGCAACCACAACCAGAAGGACGCACGCATGGCAGAACACATGCCTGGAAGAGATTCAAGCAGGGATTCACCGAACTCACGCCCGGCCGCGAAACCCAAGAAGCGGACTGCCGGCAAGATGGCGCACATCCTGCGATAACCTTCTGGCACTCGTGTGGAAAGTTAGGCTACGCGACGGGAAGCCAAGTCTTAGAGTGCTACAAGGTGGAATCAGATCTGGTGAAAGTGAGGCTGCGCCACAGGTACGGAAGGCTTTCCGTGCCTCTACCGGGAAATTGCAAAGATTGCAAATGCCAATCTGGCAGCAATTATGTTGCAGCACTTGCAGGCCAGCAGAGTGGGCAGGGGCGAAGGTTCTTTGCGCTTGGTTTATCCACCTTACACCTTTGGCCGCAGCACTATTATCATCCATATACGCAGTTAAGCGAATGAAGGCACTTGTATTGGCCAGGATACAGCTTCATGACCCTCAATGCGTCCAAATAGATGAGGAACTTTTTGAGTGTCAGCCGAATTCAACCTGGTTGTTTCTCCAGAAGGCCCTTTGCTCGCATGGAAGGTGAGGTTGGCGGATGGTGGCACTCACATCGGGGCCTATCACCCCCCATCGTTGTCAAAACATATCCGTACCTCGCATGCTCTGCACGCCGACCGTGCTCTTCGATGAGGGTGGTTGTCAAGGTGGCCTGATCCACCGATGGAGCCACTATGGCCCTCAGCTCGTTGATGAGCATCGGCTGCCCCACAGGGATGCCGCTGGTGTTCACCACCAACTCCTCCGTCTCCACTTCCCCAAAGCAAGCTGGAATCCCCAAAAGCTGTTCGACCGAGCCGGAGGTCGAGGAAAACATACTGCGGAGGTCACTTCGGCTTCCCTACCTTTTGGAATTGATTTCCTTGCCCTCTTTTTGTGTCTCCAAATCCACACACCTTTCACCACCCGCACACTTCCACACTTGAACAGCCGCAGAACCCAGCCGACATGCACGCAAACGCACACCGCCCACTGAAGCCACTTTGCACCACATAATGACACACACCACGCTCCATGACACACACGACTCTCTGCCAAAAACGCCGAAAACCACAACACACCACACCCATTCACAATGTAAAAACGAGGTAAACACACACAGACACCACTGCAAGGTCACTGTTTTTTTGTTTGGTGTCACTTCTGAGACTCCATGCCTTACCCTTTACCCACACACTGACACTTTCCTTGCACACTAAAGCCAAAGACACCCGCAAACCAACCCACTTTGCAACCACCTTTGCTCACACACACACACACACACATCCACAACACTCTTGCACATGCACACTCAGAAAAACAGCCGAAACCAGAAAATGCACATTCTTATGGATATCTTAAGTTCCGATTGCAATTGTTTCACTGTCTTTCTGGTTAATCGACAGCT